TTAGGTCACATACCATGTCTTTTTTTCCTTCCTTTAAGTTTCTGGAGTGCTATATTTCAGTGGTCATCATAAAGAAACTGGTTTTTTTTCCCCATAAAACATAAATGTACAACTCAATGAGTTCTGAAATGAACAATCTGAACCCCTTCTAGAGTCAAACACATAACCAGAACCTCAGGAGCCCTCTGTGCACCACATAAAAGCTGTTCTCACATGCTGCCCTGTACTGCTGTGTTCAATTGTTAGGGTTTTGTAGATAGTGGCTGAGTCAAGATTCTTACTTTGGAAATGATAAAACCAAATTTAACCAACTTAAACAGAAGATGACAAATTGATTGCATGCAAAATCAAACGGTGGGAGTATGGGGATGGAGCTGGACTTGGGATGACCTGGAACAAAAACATTGTCACCTTTTCTCTCTCCCTTCCTCTTCTCTCCCTGTGTTCCTTTCTTTCTGCTTCTCTCTGCACAGCCTCCCTGTCTCAAGATGGTTCTCCCCAAAGTCTCTGACCTTGTAGCCTATGACCAGAAAAGAGATTCTCTTTCTTTAACTTGAGATTAAAAGAAAAAGATCCTGGTGCAGACCTATTGTCTGGCTGACCTGAGATAGATGCCCACTCCTGGGGTCAAGGTAGTGGGGTAGTGGGGTCTGTTACCAGAGGAGGGATGCAGCCAGGAAGAGGGCTGGCAACAGAAAGCAAGAGCCATAACAGAGGGACCCTTTCGTGTTCAGTGCCTCAATGATCATTACATCTTCTATAGAAGAGACAGTCCCATCTCGAATGCTGCAAGAGTCCATCATTCCAAGGAAAGTCAGAGACAAGGAGCACGATTAGTTCAAAAGTACAAGGGGACTGATTTTTGAGGACAGAGCAGCTTCTGTTCTTCAGGTTGTCCCGTAGGCCAGCTCTCCGAGACGTGGGTCTGCATCTAGGAATGCGTCTCTCTGCCTTGGCGCTGTGGACATTCAGGGCCAGGTGTCCCTGGTTGTGGGAGGGGGGCCTGTGTGCCACATTCCTGATTTATCCTCTAGATGCCAGCAGCACCTCACTTTCTACTCATGAAAAGCCGGTCTCCAGACATTAAGTCCTCTGGGAGGCACGATTGCCTTTGGCTAAGAACCATTGGTCTAGAAGAAAGGAGCTTTTTTTCTTTTTTTTTAAAGGTAGGTAAAAAGGAAAAGAGCTGATTTCCAAGGTGCCAGTGGAATGGGCACTTAGGGTGTGTCCAGCAAAAGGGCCATTTCCTGTGTCACCTAGGGTGGGTTGGATGCGTGAACAGAGCACCTTGGTAAAATACCTTGGAGACAACTTGAAATGCAACTGCTGGTTTCAGTTAAGCAGACAGGAGAAAGCTGGGAACATATTTTTGTTATTTATGACAGTTATTATGACCTATTTCACCCTTAAACTGATGTGAACTGGAAACATTAAAGTTCGAAGGAAAGAAATGACTTCAGTGAGTAAAGTTAACACTTTTTTTTTTATCAATGGTATGGTTAAATACATACATTACTGCTGTGGAATTAGAATTTTAGAAGCATAGGTACATTAATGCACATTATACTACTGTAAGATAGTGATGAACTTTCTGTGCAAACTAATCCCACACAGAGAGTTCTAAGATTAGAAACTAAAATTCGGATGTGTCATTGCATGTTCAATTTAAATTTCAGGATAGCTGGCTTAAGTGTAAGAGAGAATTTTCTAAGCAGCGTCCGTGAGAGGGCATCTTTATATGAGTGGTTTACTTGTCACTTTTTAAGAGCATTTATTTATATCATTGAAAAGAACTTTAATTTGTTTTAAACAGTTCTGATTCCACCTGAAATGTGTTTTTAAGCAGTCGTGGGGCAGGGGAAAAGATAGTTAAAGAAATAATAAAATTCTTCAGTGCAGTCTCCATTTAAAAGATGGAGGTAATGAACAAAAAGGTGGAGCTGTTATTTCTGCCTCAGCAGCACCCCTTGCTCCTTATTGAGGTAAGAGATCTGCTGCTCTTTTTGGGGACTGTTCCTCCCCATTCCTTCCATTCCATCCTGTTCTTCCCCCACCCCCTCGGCCCACCACATAGCCATGAGCTTGGGACCTAGACTGGGCCAGTTAGACCTTCCTGGTATTTTGAATCTTGGATGGGGTGCTTTTGTTTGAATTTCTGGTTTTCAAATGTTGGCTGTTGGGTTTTCCCTCCCAGTCCTTCAATTCTCTGAGCCACCAGTATCCTTCCCAAAAGGTATATTCTTGCTCAAATAATCCAGATTCGGTTCCTGCCACTTAAAGCAGAAGCCAAAGATCTGTACCTGATGCAGGAGACTCAACTGAAATAGTGTGACTGGCTTGTCACTATAGCTAAAGGGAGAAGGGAACGGTCAGGACAGAGTGTGAAATTGGAGCTGCAAGGGAGAAATCTTGGGTCTGTGTTGCCCAAATGTTAGAAGTTTAGGATCCGTTTCCACATGATTTCAAATCTTCCACTCATACCAGGCTTCCACGCAGGTATAGTTATGTCGTTGCAGTGCGACTTGATTAGTTCAGACTCCCAAAACGTTGAAGTAATTTTTTCTGACTATGATGCCTACTATTTTTTGGTATACAATTAAAAGTACCAGAATACCCATTTTTATAGATTGAGTCTAAAAAGTGGTAATTTTTATGGACAAACGCATTTTAATATTATACATTTTATTCCTGGCTGATCATAAACATTATCAACAGTATAGAAAGGTATACAATGAAAAATAATAGATCCACATTCACTACCTTTCCCAGAGAGAATAAAAATTTCCTGTGTAGGGTATGTCTTGATGTAAGTGATATGCTTGTATTTCCTGGTGTTACTTAGTTCTCAGGCCTATTCCTCATTGGACCAAGTAGGTGTTTTACAAAGCTTGCCTCAGAGGAGGGATGACAGTAGAGACAACAGCTTGGAAGCAAATAGACAAGTTTACTTCTTGGGAGTTTCAAAAGTCTAGGCCCCCAGAGGAGCAGCAGGGGTGTGTGGACCCCGAAACAGGAACTCTTTCGGGGAAGACCGTCATGAGCGGGAGTGAAGGCTCCTACCTGGGGAGCTGGGCTTGGCTTCCTGAGTGGGGATGATGGGAAGCTAGTGAAGGCTTGGCAAGGGGTTGCTCCTTGGGGCCAGGACACGGGGCCTGGTCCAGAAGAACCCCTGGATATGAGCAGAGTTGGCATCCTGTACCAGGGTGAGCACCCCCCATCACCCAGCCTTCATTCAGCTGAGCCAAATACAGCCGTCACCTGTGCTAGGGAGAGAGAGTGTGGATTTTCCTTTTCTTTGGTTTCACACCACTTTCCACAGTCCAGCCAAAGAGGATCCTGTCTGTGCCAGGAAAGGGGTCCTTCCTGACCCTGCTGATGGCCTAGGATGTGTGTGAGCACACTGGATGGGAGGCCCTGTGGCAGTGGTGTGACAGGGAAGGTCTCACCAGCTGTGTGTGTGTTGGGGCGCGGGGGGACTGCATGAAGCCAGCTGGAGATTCACCTCTTTCCTCCTGAGATAGTAAAGTGGAAAAGCACACGGTCACACACATCACCCTCCTCCCCTCCCTATCTTCTACTTTTACACAAACTAGGCATTATACCTATGGGTCTTAACCTTGCTTTTCTCACTTAGTGATATATCTTTGATATCAGTGTGTGAAGACCTACTTAATGTTTTTCCTGGCCACTTAGCATCCAAACAATTTGATTTGTCCCCAAATGATGGACTCCAGTTTTTCTCTCCTCTTCTCCTCCCTTTTTCCCTCTCCCTCTCTTTCTTCTGGATATTACTGAATTACAAGTACCCTTTTACATAACTTTTTGCATTTTTATTTGAGGTTACTGTTGGAGATGGTCCACAAGGGGATGTGACTGCCTGTTGACCAGAGAGCTGGACCTGGGCTGTCAGAGCCGCCTCATCCCCTCCCTGACCTTGGAGTATACGCTCTGCCCACCATTCCCACAGTGGGAGCTGCTCTAAAACACAGGTGTAAGGTGGTGTTGAGACCATCTGGACAGGATATGTGACTGAAGGCCTCTGGGTAAACTTTTAAAATTCTGACAGGTCTGTTTTGCAGTTACCTGAGACAAGCCTCTGATATCAGTCCCCTTGCTTAATAAGCCTGCCGCCTCCCACTCTGGAGTGGCCTGCTTCTCTCTTCCATGTCTCCTTGTCCTATGTGTATAGGGGCCAGTTTGTGAACCAACAATAACCTGAGGGTAAATGACAGAGGAATTACTATGCCAAGAGGTGTGTGTGTCAAACAAAGCAAAGGTACATACTGACAAGTTGTCATCCAAAATGTTTGCATCTACTTGCATTCTCCTAAATTCTTGTTTACCCATATTCTCTCTAACACTAGGTATTAGAATCTTTTGACAATCTTTTGCCAATCTGATACATGAAAAAATTTTTAATAAGTTGTTTTTAAAAAAGCTATTAAAAAATAGTTTATTTTAAAATTTGCCCTACCCCAATGGTGACTAAGAATCCCTTTGTATTTTGTTTGTACCTATTTAGTAGCACAAGTAAAATATTCTGTCTGTGGGGCAGAGACTGTTTTCTATTCAGTATAGTAAACATTTACTAAGCATCTATTATGTGTCTAATTGACTAGACCGAATCAGACTGAAAACAACATACACAATAACATTTGGTTCCAGAAAATATAAATATGAAAATATTAGCGGTGAAACATGCCCAGAAATCCCATGGCACGAGTAGTTTGGAGCGACACTGGCTTCTAATGAACAGGGTAAATTAGCAACAAAAGGCACCCACAGGTAATTGAGTAAAATGAGGTATTAGCTAGAGTTATTTTGTATTTTCCACTTGAAAACTGGAGGACATCAGGCAAAAATCAATTTTAGTTTTGGCATCATTAGTGATCTGTTCTCTCTGGAAGTACAGTGATTAGGAATCTGGCTCAGTGACTCCTTAATGTCACTACTGATTTATGACAGAACACCGTGACACTGGCATTAAGAACGACACTTACCTCCTCATTTGCCATGGGACAAGGTAGCTGTGATAGGTGTTTGTTCTGGAGTTGAAGGAGCTGTGACATGGCTCTTTCGTGATGTAGTTTTAGGCTGATACCTGATCTGTGAAGAGACAATTTCAACTCTCTGTCACAGGACTGTTAAAATGCAGGTTTTATAAAAGCTTTGGTAACACTAGATTTATGCTATTCTCTCACATCTTAGTCCATGGACAAGCTGATGACAGATGGAAAAAAAATACTATAACCTTTACCTGTTCTAAAATGCTTCATAAAGTGTGTAAGGCTGTAAACTGGAAAAATAGTCTTCAATACTCAAAAAAACTCTAAGATAGTTGTTTGAGAAAAGAGGAAGAGGTTTCTTTACTGCAGGATCTCAGAGTCTTTAATGCAACAGTGTGAAAGGGAGTCAGTTTTCAGTGTTACCCCAACTCTGGCACCATTATTTCTTGTGGTGAATGTAGTTTTCCAGCAACCCAGGGTCCCTTTTTATTTCTTAAAGTGGGGTGCTGTGATCAGGGGTCCCTCCCTCCCCAAGCTACGGGAGAGATCAGTGCTCCAAGTTAGGACAACTGAAGGCTGGAGTGTGAATTGGGAATATCAAAGGCACTAGATCGGAGCCCACCCAGTCCAGCAGTGGGAGGCAGCCAGTCATGACATTCCTGCCTTCCATTGTCCTGTTAGCACTGTGCCTTTTGGACCTGCTTGAACACCTGCCAGCTTCCTAGTCTGCTTGTCTGGGTAGGCTACGCATCCTTTCTCAGAGCTCCTATTAGCCTTCCATCAAATTCTTTTTGCCTAAGTTGGTTGCTTTGGAACCAAAGGACTCACATCCTTTTCTTCGTCCTTAGTTCTGTCTTACAATATCACCAGATTGAAGCAATGCCTATTTATTGACAAGTAAAAGCTCTACACCAGTTACACTACTTACATATTCTTAGAGCTCAAAAAAAAAGAAAGAAAAGAAAGAAAACTGTTGAACAAATGACTAAAATTCCCAAGGACAGCCTTTGAGAAACACTGTTTCCAGATATTTTCTCCTTTTTCCCTTCCCTTCCTTCCTTCCATTCTTTCACTATTATTGACTGGGTCCCCTATGTGGTGTACTTTTCATCCTCATCAGTTATTTATAACTGGAAGTTTGTGTCTCTTCATCCCCTTCACCTGTTTTGCCCCCTCTCCCACCCTTCTCCCTTCTGGCAATGATCAGTTTGTTCTCTGTATTTATGAGTCTGTTTCTGGCTTTCATTTAAGCTATTTTCTTAATAAGGAGAAAGACCATAAATAATGGTAGCCAAAAAAGAAATAGTGCCTATAATCTCCTTGCTTCTCTAGAAAAAGAGAATACTGGAATACACACTTGTGTTGAGTTTTGATGGCTTTCTAGCAAACTCTGGGGTCCATTATTTTAGAGAAATTAAATGCTTTTTTAATTAAAAAAAAATACTTCAAATCAATTTGAAGGAGCCATTTAGGGAAAAATTGCCCTCTCTGAACTAGGAATTTTACTAGACATTTAACATACATTTTCTAATTTAATTCCGCAATACCTCTGTGCCACTCAGCAATATGTACTGAGCTCCCAATATGTCACAGGTATTGCACTAGTGTATAGGAATACAATGACTGACAGCACAGACAGAGCTTGGGCAGTAAAAGACCCTTCCATAGTCACACAGATGCTCAGTGGATGCCATAAAGATTTGTTTTTTCCTGTATATGGTTATATTTTTCACTTTTCCTGTTTGTTTTTAATAAATAGCTTCTATTCTAAACAAAACAGGCAATCCAATCAATGTAGATGAGTTTAAAAATAAAAGTATGCTCACTTTACTGACAAATACTTCATGAATCTTAAAGGAGTGTTTGATTTATTGACACCAGTTATTGTCAATATTTTGGGTTCAAACATGCTTTGACATTTGATCTTCTGGTATAAAACAACATCCAATGGAAAATGTCAAATATGAAGAAGCCTACAGAATGACGCTGCGCCTAATGTGTGTAATTGTTTGTCATTCTTCCCTGTGTCCCTACCTTGGTGTCCAGGACTGCTAGATAAGTAGTTCCCATCATTCCAAAGTCCAAATGTGAAGACAGTGGGAATGAAGCAGTGGAAGCCAGACAGACACTCAAGGGCTAAATGGGTGCGAACAGCCACATAAAACCTGTGGGCTTAAGAGGAGAAAAAATGAATGAACCACTGATTTGACACTAGTGAAAATGTTAAGGACACCTCAAAATAGATAAGGGAACTGTGCCTAGCCCAAGTGTGGAAGAACACAAACCCACAAGAGATGGGATTTAGCATTCTGTGGAACTCTTGTCTTTGTTGTGATGTAAACCTTGGACTTCTACAAAATAGTTTATTCCAATTCAGTTTCATTCTGCTGCTAACTGGCTCCTTAACACCATGTCAGAGCAAGGATTTCACTGCGGAAGTGGAGTAGGGAACACTTTTATCTATTAAAATTATCCAGGGTGCATTTCTAAGCATGTTTTATGCAGGAATGAAGCGATGCCAGGCAAGTGGCACAAGGGCGGGCCAGGCCCTGAAATTTAACGGTGCAGTTCTAATGGTGGATGAGCTATACCCAACCACCCTTCCTCATTCCTCAGTTTCAGGGCTTCAGTCCATCGCTGGTGATTCAGTCGCGCTTAGTTACCATGCAGCCGTTCGGACAGCACCATAAGTATATTGCCTTATGGAGGGCCACTGTACAAGAGGTCCCTCTTGCAGAGGGACCGCTGGGAATGGGGCTAATCGGACCTGACGATTTCTCTGGGTCAGGGGCAGAGAAGCAGAGGGCCAGCGGTGGCGTGCACACCCAGCTGGGTCCCGGCTCCTGTTCGCACAGGCTGCTCTAGCTCCGGGAAGCGGGCCCGGGGGCAGGCAGGCCGGGCCTGTGCCCCAGCGTCGGGCCGTGCCAGTGCTAGGGAGCCAGCAGAGGCGCCACGCCGGGGCTAGGGACTTCCGGGGCGCGCGGATGCGCGGCGTGCGCGCCCCCGGCGGCGCGGCGGGACCCTGGGGCGCGCGCGCGGGCCCGCCGGCGGGGGCGGAAGGCTGGGGGCGTGCACGCGCGCCGGCTCGCCGAGGCGCGAGGGGGCGGAGCCGCCCCGCGGACAGAGCCCGCCCGCGCCGGGGCCGCCGAGGTGCGTCTCCAGGCTGCCGCGGCCGCCGGGGGCAGAGCGAGCCGGACGTGCCACCTTCCTGCTGGCTGCCGCTGTGGACTTGCTAGGAAACAGGGTTTCCCCGCGGGAGAGCCCGGGAGCGCGCAGACACACACACACACAAAAACACACAGTTCTTCACAACTGCATCCCCCAGACCCGCAGAGCGAAGCTACTGCGTTTTGTCCTCACCTCAGCCCGGTGGGGTGAAGCAGAGCCGGTGTGCATCAGGGAGAGCCCGGTGCCTGCGCTGCCTCCTCGGGTCCCCAGCCCAGCAGACCGCTCACCCCATCGGGTAAGCCAGTCTCTTCTCGTAACCTGCTCGGGGTTGGTGCCTGCAGACCGGAGGGAGAGGGTGGGAGGCTGGGGGTGCACCAGGAGGGGCGAGATCGGAGTTGAAAATGCAGGGGGATGCAGCCCATGCAGCCTCCTCCGCCGTCGTCTAGCGGGAGCAATTACTACTCCGGTTACTTATTCTCCCAACCCTGGAGTTAGTGTCTCCCTCCCTTCCTCCCTTCCCCCACCCCAGACGCGTTCTGTGCTCCATGGTTGCCAAGGAGACTTGCTTAAACATCAGCCTTGGGACAGCTATTGAAAGAACTGGTTTCTTAAATGATGCTGTTATTTATTTTGGTTTTTAAAAATAACAAATAACACTGAGGGCCATGTGATCATTTGGCATTCGTAATCTGTATTCAGACGAGGGTTTCATTCAACTTCAAGAAAAACGGTAATTGCACTATATGGGATGCTTTAAAAAGGATTCGTCAGATGAATTTTTCAACGGATAGTGTCTTGAATCATAAATTACTCCCATTTTGCTGACCTGATAAAGAAAGCTGATTCCAATTAAACTCCCTTCTTCCCCTCTATTTCTACATTATATTTTGCAGTTCATTCAGGCGTGATTATCTTAACATTAAAAAGCAGGGGATGAATTAATTCATCCCACATAAGGATGATCTTCTGTTGCAAATTGACCAGAACAGGAATACATATGCGAATTTGTAATGTAGGGAGATAGCATTCAGACGCATCTTCGCTAATATTTCTATATCCTCTGCAACATTAAGGGTAGTTTTCTGCACCTCTGCCCATTTCTGAGATTCTGTTTCCTTTCAAGTCTCTTACTGATTTTTAAAAACATATTCTGTGTGTAGATAGACATAGTTAATAAAGCATGTGCCATGGCTTAATACTCCAGACCCTAAGCTTTTGGAGCTATACTAAAATGTAGAGAGGAAGGAGGCCCAGAGAAAGCTTTATAGATCCTGGTGGTTTTTTTCTGATGGATTGAATCCTTTACTGGAGCATTAAGTGGGGCCAGGGGAGAAGGCCAGTGCTCTCATCTCCCAGGAACCCCTAATGACTAGACTGTCCCTTTTACCGGGAGATCTCAGGTGCCTAGTGGTGAACTTATAACGTAGTTGTTGAAGGGGTCAGCAATCTGGTAATTACATTTTCACTAATATCAAATCCATTAGAAACAGAAATGACCTACTAAAGATCCACTGGTGTTCAATGATTCATTTTGTTTTCCTTTGGTGTTTGTTCATCTTCTCTACATCTTATTAAATGAGGCAAGGAAATACATCAAATCCTTCTTACTTAGATTTTAAACTGTTGTACAGAGTGTAATAATATGGGGAATAAGGAAGCCAGTAGTAACTGGGGTACGTAGAGTGGTTTTATACAACCTGAAAGGGGGCTGGAAAATATATAACAATGACAAACATTTTACATTGTAGTTTACAAAGTACTTTTCCTGTCCCTCTTTTTTTAAGCCCCATGAACAGCCTTGTGAAGTCAAGGAATTGTCTTCAGTTTTAAAGCTGAGGGACCCAAGACTCACAGTTGGCTGAAGGTCACAGAGCTAGTGACTGGGGAAGTCCTTTTTGAATCCAGGCTCTTTGCCTTAAAAAAAAAATCCTGTGTCTGCATTTCCAATGTGTGCAGGGATCTGGCAGGTAAGGTAAAGGACTGAGCAGGCCCAGTGGGAGACACGTGGGAGAGCGGGGGTATGGATTGTGGTCTCTGGAACATGCCAGCTCCTATGAAGGGGACAGCTTCTACTCAACTATGGTGGATCGTTGCCACTCTGGCTCTAAAGCATTCTAGTTTTTCAAGAAAAACAGAAGCTTCCAGATTTTTTATGTGAAATCTCTTTAATTTTAAAAACTATAAGGACCACATTAAAAGTGTTATCTAGGCCACATGTGGCCTCTGGCCCACCAGTTTGTGAGCCATAGCCTCCTGAGGTCTCACTCAACTCCAAACTATTTTTCTCTAATAAAATACTGATGTGAACAAATACATCTGTCATTGTAGGAATGATTAGGAGTTTTCTGATTTTGATATAACATCTCTAAAAAGTGTTCTGCATCCTTTTTTCATAAACAGGTCCAAGTTTGTTTTTAAGGGTTCCTAGATCTCTTCCTTACACCTCGGAGAAAATGAAAGATTACGAAGTGCTCCGAAAGAGGACTTTTTAAATCTGGTGAAACAAAACCATTTATAGTATAAAACTTCTTTTGTTCCTGGCTCAGTTTTTTTTCCCTGGGTACAGGGCTAAGTATACAAAACGTCACTTGAGTACCTGTCATTGTCGAAAGAGGTAGAAAAACATTTGGTCAGAACAAGGAACATCGTGAGTCTTTCAATGAACATGTCCTATTAAGGCATTAGGTAATTAGTTAAAACCCACCCCAGAATTCTGCAAGATTCCAAATGAGCAGCAATATAAATGGGAACTTAAAAGGGCATTCAATTCCAGCACCATGGCATAGAAAATACTGTTTAGTCTGTAAATAACAGCCTCTTGGAATAAAGCAGGTATCTTGTGAGAAGCTGCCACCCTCTCATGTTTCTATGACAGCTACAGAGATGCCAGTGGACTTCACTCAACAAACCTGGTGGTCAGAAAGGAGTGTTACTTGATGTTGTTTCTTTCGTGGATCCAGAGAGGTGTAGCTTTGAACAGTGGCTTCTAATGGTTCTCTTCTTCTAGAATCACCCTCTAGAAGGATGCTCTAATAATGAATAAATGCACTTCAGCTTTCAATTCATGGAAAGGTGTTGCACCTCTAATAAAGAGCTGTGCGGGTGTCGAGTCATACTAATACAACAAAGTCCTGGCTGGGTGCTGTGAAGACAGTATGTCTGCCCTCAAGAATTCAGAGCAAACAAGCATACTGCTCCTGGCAGCTTCCACTTTTCTAGCCCTTTCTACATGCAAACTGCATTCCATATTGTCTTCACAATGTCCCTACGAAGTCAGCATCTCATTTCTGTTGTACAGATGAAGTCAGGACTATGTGAAGTTAAACTGGACCAATGTAATAAACATTGAACCTCAGCCACTTTTCTCAGTCCATCCTTCTCTACCAGTTACCTAAGGGAGGTCATAGACATGTTCATAATTGTGATTTTGAGGCAGGTGTATGTTAAATGCTGGACTAGGGATGCAAGAGTCCATAGAAACACAGACACAAGGGGAAAATTAAAAATACTCTGATTGCAGAGATCAGGTAGGTTCTGTGTAGGAGGAGGATTAGTGTTGGGCCTTGCTGGCTGGGATGATAGTAAATGAGGATCCCTTTGCTGTCAAGAGATGGGCTGCCTGGCTGGTCAGGCAGCTGGAAATGTGAATTGAGACAATAATGCGTGTGATATCTGATATTGGTAAGCTTATCATTATGGCTGAAAGGTTGATACACACTGTGGGAAGAAATATGGTCTCCACGACTGAGTGCAGCAAGAAGATGGAACTGGAGGTGTGTGGGGGAGGTAGTGGAAGACTAGTTGGTGAAGGAGACTAAGAGAGAAGTTGTAGACACAGAAGAGAATCTGGTGATAGAGTATTGATTCTTCTAAAAGAGTTACTAGAAGAGGAAGGGGTGAACCAAGAATTATTTCCCCTGTACCAAGTCTGGTGCTCCGTAAATACCCATTGACTATGATGGTGTGTCTATATTCTTAACATCCAACATGTGGCGCCTGATTTCCTCTCATGGTATCACTTTTCTGTGGAAAGAAAGCAGATATAGATATTTTACATGAATTCAAACTGGGGTGGATATCTGGATTTTTTAAGACTGGGAAAGTGATTGTGCAAATGAGATAAGAAAAGGAGAACATAGCAGTGAAAACATTTTCTCTTGGTAAGATCATAGACTTTAAGGTTAAGGAGGGTCATATCTATGGGACAAGTGAGGAGAAATGTAAGCTGCCTGTTAGATACTTGAAAATCTTTGCTCAAACCCAGACAGAAGCTTTTAGTGACAGAAAATATACTCTGCCTTTGATCCTGAGTGGGTCAGTATTTTTATTTGTTACCTGTATGGAGATAAGCAAAACAATGTGACAAGCAAGTGGAAATTAAATTTGGATTCAAGCATTAAATCTGTAGTGACTGGGTGGGAGAGCTACGTGCTGCGGCCATGGGCACTAAGTAACAGGATGGCATAGAATAGAAAACATGTCACAGCTAGCTAGAGTGTAGTCCTGATGACTTTCATCATGACAGGAGTTTGCTTTAAAGTTGGAGGTGTTTTAATTCTCACCCAGTACAGTGTAAGCCAGTATGATGATTTACTCTTCACTGATACAGAGTTACCCCTTGAACAACATGGGTTTGAACTGCCTGAGGCCATTTATATGTGGATTCGTTTCAATAAATACACTGAAAAAATTTGGGGGGATTTGTAACAATTTGAAAAAAGATTTCTCTAGCCTACTTTATTGTAAGAATATAAAATACGTACAAGATACAAAATATTTGTTAAGTGACTATGAAAGCTTTTGGTATATAGTAGGTTAGTAGTTAACTTTTTGGGAATTCAGAAGTTATCTGTAGATTTTTGACCGGGTGGCGGTCAGCACCCCGAACTCCTGTGTTGGTTCAGGTCAGCTGTATTTGGCAAGTAATAGGAAATATTATGAACAAGTGATGTAAGGAGTCCATATTTCTTATTAAATAGGGCTTTTGCTGGTAATGGAGACAGATCTGTCGGTTTCTCCGAGTCAGGCAGTGCCTTACTCCCCCTTCTCTGTCTTTATATAACTGGTTTGCATTATTTTGGAATTTCTTGTAGTTTGGAGAGTAGAACTTGAGAACTTATCCCTGAACATCTAACTTTCCCTCTCATTAGGAATTAATAGATGCAATTCATTTTGTTCACCTTTTTCCTGGCTGGGTTATTTCTAACTGGGTCCTTCATTCCCATACTCTTCTTGCCAAAATCTTTACCTAAGAGGCAGAGGAAGCTCTCAACTTTCTTCACATTTCTTTTGTTTTTGCCTCGTTTCATGTGCACATTGCAATGCAGC